CTAGTGGAAGTGTTGACCAAAAGGACTTAGCAAAATGGGCTATAAATCGACTTCGTGAAAGATTGGCATTAACAACTAATGAAGTGGTGGAAGAGCTGGAAGAAGAAAATGTTAGTAGCGACCAACAACACGAACGACAAGAGGCACCGGAAGAGGATGAAGGCTTAATTTTTAGTGAATCAGACAACGGACAAGCGACCCCACCAAGCGAGAAACAAAGCAGCAGTCAACAACTTTCTATAGAGCGTGAACGACAAATCAACGACAAAAAACGACTCAAATCTTATCGAGATCGAAAACGTGGATTTCGGGATGCTAAGACTAAACCTTCTCAACTTGCAATGGCAGCAATTGAGGGCAATCGAAAATTAAATGAAGAAAACGCAGCATTGGCTCGTGACCCCAAACGACTAGAAGCAGCTAAAACCGCGCATCGTGCAGCCGTCAAAGTGTTGAAGAGGAGAGGTGAAACAACGGACTCTAAAGAAAAAAGATTGAAAGCTATCGAAGAAGGTCCTGGTTGGCGTTATCGCACATTCTCAAAACTGCCTGACAAAGGAGGACTTACAGAACGTGATCCGAAAACAACACAGCTATTGCGTAAAGAAAAGGCAGCAGCACTACGAACCGCAGATTTTTATTTGAAGAGAGCTGAAGAAGATAGAGTGGGTTTGGCAGCACTTCTACCGGAGAAAAAACAACGAAAGGAAAGTAAATCACCAAGCCGTCATCGTAAAAGTCGTTCATCAGAGAGACAACGTCGACGACGAGATAGTCCGCTGGTAGAGCGTCGCCCCTCACCAAAGTCTCAAAAAAGGGGTAGTAGCGAAAGGACGCGTCACCACCACCGCCATCATGCAAAACAACGTAATGTAGCGACCAGCACCGACGACCTAATCGTAGTTAAAGAAAAGAAGAATCCACCACCACCCCCGATCAAACTGTCTATAGTGCGGGGTCATTCCATCAATATCGTCTCTAGCCTGCCCAACCCAGCCACATTATTATTAAATGCTAATGAAACAACACGTCAAACTGCCATGCACCTTCTCACATCCACAGCTCTCTACATGGCTCAAAATCTTCCGTCTGGTTCTTCAATATGGCCCAAGAATGAAGAAAAACGGGATGGTTGAATATTTATTTTTTTGTTATGATTTTGGGGATTTTTCTAGGCCGGGGGGAGTGTCGCCAATTTTGGCGACTTTTCATTGAATTGTCTCTTTTTTAAATTGTCCCCCGTTCACTCCTCGTTAATTTTTTAGCCGTTCACCCTTTATTTTTTTCATTGTCCACTCAATCTTTTTAAACCTTTTTCCCGCCAAAATTTTTTCTCTCTATTTTTTAGTGACAGTTTGCGCCTGTCACAACTTAAATTTTTCCTATTGTTTTTTCCGATTGTCTTCTCTGCCCCGTTCTCTCTACACATTTGGTTTTCTATAATCTATTAAGCATTATTTTTCAAGTTCGCATTTTTTGAGTTTTTTGCCAAGACCCGCCCTCTTTTAATCTCTATTTAAGCCGAGGATCAGCCCCCCAAAAATTACCATTCACCTCCAGTTTTTACTTTCAACCGCTTCCAGTTTTCAATTTCAACTCTCATCTTTTGGTTGGCTGATCCGCGGCTTCTACCTTTGTTTAATTAGTGCTCGATTTATTTTACTGCTCTGTTTTTTTGGCTATTATTTTTTGTGGAAGAAGTAAATTTATTGTTGACTTGTCGTTGTATTTTGTTTGAGTGGAAAAGTGAACCGCCTCGAGGTTCACTTACTGTTCTCCTTCTGTTATTTGACTGTGTTGGCACAACCAACACAGTCTGGTGCCACGATCCTAAAAATCCAATTTGTCGGGAAGCCCGTCTCCCGACAGTTTAGCCGCTCTAATTAAAGAATAAAAGAATAATTAATTTAATACTATTTAAACAAACTTACAATTGTATTAATTTAAATATTCATATACACACAATTGCTTTTAATTTTTTGTATTTAATATACACCTAAAAATTGTATTTAAAATTAAAATAATAAATGGCAAATCGCACTTTCGCGGGACCGCTTAAAATGAGATTAGGTCCACTCAGGAAAAGAACCATTGGATATATAAAGTCGATCAAAGAATTATCAGATAATGGAGTAAACCCCGAAAGCATAACGAGTCTGAGAGCACAACAACTGAAATTAGCTAGATCTGTAGAAGTGTTGGAACAGATCAATACAGACTGGGCGAAGCTCATAGGTCTCGAGGCGCAGGATAGGAAAGAGGATATGTTGAAAGATTATAACACCCACGCGGAGGGGGAGGATGGTTTTATAGCCCTAATCGAAATAGCGAGGGATCTAAGTTGTGAAATCGAAGCTAAGCTGATTGAAGTCTCCTCGTCGTCTCATAATGATAATTCTGTCGCCAATACATCGGTTGCACATTCGACTTCTATTCGACTGCCAGTTTGTAATCTTCCTCTCTTTAATGGAAAGGTTTCGGAATGGCCAAGCTTCTGGAGTCTTTTTGAAGTTTCAATAGATAAAAATCATAGTCTAGACGATTCTGAAAAACTAACGTATTTACTTGCCTCCCTCGCTCGGCCTCATCCCTATAGTGAAGTGAGCGGATTTGCAATAACAGCCTTAAATTATCCGTTAGTAGTGAACCATCTTAGGAAACGATTTGGGGATGAGATCTCAGTTAAACGATCATTGTATGGGGAATTAAATAAGCTTTGTCCTCGGGCATTAAAAACGGAAGACGTTCGTCAAAATTGGATAAATGTACATCGAATCACCCAGCAATTGAAGGCATTAGGGGAAGAAATCGACAATGGTGCCCTGCTACAACAAATTGAAAACAAGTTCGGGGGATGGGCTAGTTGTGTCATACTTGAAGAACAAAATAAAAATCCCACTAACTGGACAATTAACCGACTCCTAGATTCAATTGACAAGCATCTAAAAATTAAAGAAGCGGTTTATGGCCAAAGTTCCTCATCGAATTATAGACGCCCTCCTCCTCGCCAAAATCATAATGTATTTACTAATAATATAGAGAGGGATAGAAACACTAATTGGCGGGAACCAAAACCAGAAATAAATAGATATTCCAATGAAACAAATAAAAAGAGAAGGCCATGCGTCTTTTGTGAGATCGATAATCACAGTTCCGTCCAATGTAAAAAATATATAAATTTTGAGACTAGAATACAAAGGTTAAAAGATTTGAGAAAATGTACCAAATGTTTCGAGCGGAATCATATTGCCAAATATTGTAAAAATAATAAGATAAAATGCCAGAGTTGCACACAACCTCATTACTTTGCTGTCTGTCCCAAAAACACAATCAAACGAGAAAATATTCATAATATAAGAGAAAACACAGGTGAGAATACAAATACAGATCCAGGATTTTCCCAAGAAGATATGAACTGCCTGATAGACATAATGGAAGTAAATAGTACACAAAATAACAGGGAATTAGAAAAGATCAACACTCTCTCTCTGAAAGACAAAAATATAAAAACATTGCTCATGACTAAAAATATTGAATACTTAAATAGTCGAAAAGAATCAATTAGAGGTTTCACACTAATGGATCCAGGAGCCACTTGTACTTTGATTAGTGAGCGATTTGCACAAAAACTAGGGATTTCAGATTCGGAAATTAAACATAAAACTGAACTCGAAGTAGATGGATACGCTGGTAACAAGTCCCGCTTCACATCATATAGGATCAAAATCGAGTTTAAATTGAAAAATGGAACTATTACTTCTACCGAAGGGTATACTACACCCAACTTAGATCAAATGAAAATCTATTGTCCCAGTGATCCAAGGGAATTTTGGTTACACGATGATAAAGAAATCGAAGTAAAGCAACGCACTCCTGACATACTTTTTGGATTATCTGACGTCTTAAACCTTTTAGAAAATATTGAAAATTTATCCAAGCAGAGATTTTTGCTCCGCACAAAAGTAGGACCTATAATCTGCGGCAAAGCGAAAATAAGGGAAGCAGGAATACAAGATGAAACACAATACGTAATGTCTGCTGTTGGAGAAATTACTGAAAAAGTAGAGGAAAAAGATTTTTGGAATCTTGAGACTATTGGCATAAGAGATCCGGGTTTGACTATTCCAGATGATGAAATAGCTTGGAAGCAATTTAGGGAGTCAATCAACCAATTACCTGATGGACGCTATGAAGTAGGTTGGCCGTGGCGAATCGAATCTAAAAGGACACTACAAACGAATTTTGGGGTTTCATTAGGCCGACTCAAATCTCTTTGGAAAAAATACCGAGAAAACCCCGAAGTTTTGGAAGCAATTGACAAAACGATTAAGGAACAGTTGGATTTAAATATGATTGAAATAGCACCAAAAAACACAAACATAGTCCATTACCTCCCTCACCAACCTGTTTTCAAAAGTTCTTCATCATTCACTAAATTAAGAGTCGTATTCGATGCAGGTTCTGGAAAAACACCATTAAATAATGAATTACTTAGAGGAGCTGTCCTACTTCCACAATTGCCAGGCGTACTGATCAGAACACTTATGTTCAATAACCTTTTGATCGCTGATATTGCTAAAGCTTTTTTACAGATCCAATTGAGACCGGGAGATAGGGACGTTACTAGATTCCTCTGGGTGAAAGATATAAAACACCAACCGGAATACACAAATTTAATCAGTTACAGATTTACTCGTGTATTATTCGGAGTCATTTCCAGTCCATTTCTCCTAATTGCTACAATATTACACCATCTCGAGAAAGTAAAAAGTCCTTTGTCTGAGGAAATTAAAACAAATCTGTATATGGACAATATAATTCTTGGGGCTAAAAATACTGATGAGATAAAGGGAAAATATAAGGAATTAATTCAAATATTTAATCAAGCAAAAATGAGAGTTAGAGAATTTTGTTGCAATTCAGTCGAAGGAAATAATATGTTCGAAGAAGATGACAAACACCCTAGTATAGAATCCAAATCCCTTAAATTCCTGGGAATAAAATGGGAAATAGAAAAGGATGAGTATTGTCAAAAACTACCAGGGGGTAATTATCAAAACATGACAAAAAGAGAACTTCTGTCACTGATTCACTCAATTTTCGATCCGCTGGGATTGATTGGTCCAACATTACTTCCAGCTAAACTTCTTTATCAAAAAATTTGTGCTCGTAACATAAATTGGAATGATAAATTAGAAGAAAACGAATTAAATGAAATAAATCAAATAATAGATGGTTGGGTAGAACAGGAATTCAGCAGGCCCAGAAAAATAATCCATGGATGTGATAACACCGAAATTCTACAGTTGCACTGTTTCGCTGATTCCTCTATGAAAGCTTACGCTGTAAATATATACCTTAGAATTACATGTCCCCATAAAACAAATACAAGCCTAATTTTTGCTAAAAATAGAATTGTTCCTAAAGGCAAAGAAAAAACGTTGACCATCCCTAGATTGGAGCTTCTCGCAATTCTTATAGGAACCAGAGCTATTTCCTTTGTAACCAATGAGATAAAACAGCCAATAGAAAAAACAATACTCTGGAGCGACTCTTTAATTGCTACTTCTTGGATTAAAACTAGTAAAAATAAAGAAACCTTCATAAATAATAGAGTAATGGAAATAAGACAAAATAAAGAAATCGAGTATAGATATGTTCCCACGGACGAGAATCCAGCGGATATTGGAAGTAAAGGTTCGTCGGGCCCTGAATTAGCTAAAAATAGTCTTTGGTGGAAAGGACCTTTATGGTTAGGAAAAGATGAACAGAATTGGCCTAACAATCAATCATTCACAATTAAACCCGAACCTCAAACTCCAGTGTTATGTTACAAATTAGTAGACGTAGGAGAGAAAAATGACTTTATTCCAAGAGTTGAGAAATACAGCTCTTTTTGGAAACTCATATACACCACTATGTTCATACTTAGATTCCTTAATATAACTATTTGGTCGAAATTAAATAAAATAAAGCAACCATGGCTCTCTAAAATCAAGATAAAAGGCAACTTCGATGCGAACGATATTAAAATTGCTAAAATATTATTAATCAAGCAAGCACAAGCGCGAGAAAATCTCCCTACAGAACAAATAGAAACGCTAAATTTATTCTACGACGAAAATCACATTTTAAGGTGCAAGACTAGACTTCAGAACTTACCAAACGGCTATGATTTTGCAAATCCAATATATTTACCCAGAAACGATCCATTAACAAAACACATAATACTAAATGAGCATAAATCAAGACAGCATTCGGGTCTCCAATCAACATTAGCCAATTTAAAATTGACATATTTTATACCTAGAGCAAGAAATCTCGTAAAAAATACTCTAAAAAGTTGTCTAGAAAAATGCCAGCGACTTAAACCATACCAATTAGCTAAAATGCCACCACTACCAGAATCACGAATAACGCCATCTAGAGTTTTTCAGAATACAGGGTTAGATTTCATGGGACCAATAATAGTGAAAGACATTGACGAAGAACGCAGTAAAAGGTGGATCTTGCTATTAACTTGTCTATCAACTCGCACCATCCATCTCGAAGTAGTTACTAGTATCAGTACACACGCATTCCTAAATGCTTTCAGAAAATTTGTCGCTAGGAGAACTAGACCAGACTATATATTATCGGATAATGGTTCCAGTTTTAGATTGGCAGAAAAAACATTGAAAAGAATTAAACCGGATCAGATAATCGACGAAGGACTACAAAAGTATTTCGCTGAAGAAAACATTAATTGGAAATTTATAACGCCACTTGCACCGTGGGAGGGAGGGGTCTATGAGAGGATCAACGGAATGATAAAATCCAATATAAGGAAATCAATAGGAAGAAAAATAATAGACAATGATGATTTTAACACACTCATTTGTGAAGTCGAAGCCATCATAAATTGTAGACCATTAATCCAAATAGACGATGAACCAGAAACTATAATTTTACGACCGATTGATTTCACATACCCGTTCGCTCATCAGGGATTTCCACCAATATTATTAGAAAAGGACCCAGATTATCTTACAAACGCAGATTCGGCTGAAAAAATGGTTTTTGAGTGGAAAAAACACAATACTATTATTAATAAATTTTGGGAATACTGGTCAATCAATTATCTAATAATGTTAAGAGAAAGAAAAGATGAACATAATAATCCCAAATTTTCGGCAAAAGGAACCCCGCAAGTAGGTGAGATAGTTCAAATTTATGATGAAAAGTTACCAAAAGGCTGCTGGAAAATTGGAAAAGTAATAGAAAATAACAAAAACAGATCAATAAAATTAAAATTGGGAAATGGCAAAATATTAATTCGACCACCTAAATTTATATTCGACCACCTAAACCACCTAAATTTATACCACCTATTTATTATCCGGAAAAAGTTTAGTTTAATAGAGAATTATAAACTTTCCGGAAAGTTTTGTATAATAATAATTACAATCGCAAAGTTGCAAACTTTAATTTGCGGACAACTTGAATACTTAAAAACTTAACGTTAAACTTGCAAACTTAAATAAACTTAAGATTAAACTTAATAACTTTAATAAACCTATTTTGAAAGACAAAAGAATATTTTTAAAACTTGCAGAAATTTATTTTATCAAAATATAATAATCAAAAATATTATTAATTTTTTTTAAATTTTAATTAAATAATTAATTAATTTTTTAAATCCATTTTGCTTTTGTTTTCTTATCTGAAATGCTACTAGTATTATTATTATTGTTATTATTATTGTTGTTGTTGCTGGTACTTCCTCCCCCACTGCTATGTATTAAAATTGGACGACTTGCAGTGCTTACCTAAAAATTCAAAACAAATTATTTTAAAAAATAATTGAAACGAGGGTATTTTTAATACTTGAAGCAAAAAATTTATTTTTAAAATAAAAATTGAAGCAAGCAATTTATTTAAAAATTTAAATTAACCTGTCTAGTAAGTACAGGTTTGGATTTTGCTACAGGAGAGGAATTGTTACTTTTGGTGGGTAAATTCTGAAGTTGTTGACGTCTTGAAATGTTTGAAACTTGTTGAGAAGCAGCACGAGTAATTAAAGGACTTGAATGAATCTTTGCTTTCTATATATCAGAATAAAATTAGGAAAGCAAAAAAAAAAGAAATTTTAAAAAATTAGAATAAAAATGTTAATAAAATTCAGAAAAAAATTCTGAAAAAGAATTCTAAAAAAATCAGATGCATAAAATTTTACATGAGCTTGGAGTGCCTCTTTTTGTTTCTCCACATTAGAAGCAATTTTTGAACTCAAATTTCTACAACTTGTAGGCGTTAAAGTTTGATTTCTTCTAAAAGGTGTAGGTCGTTGTATTCCCGTTTCATTCTCTAAATTATTTGTTTTCACTTGGACAATTGCTGGACTATTCCCTGTCCGAACTTTCGAAATACTGCTTAAACGGGATATTCCTGAACGTTGTTGTGAAGGTTTTTGTAGGCCTTGATGTTCGTAATGGTCAATCCTTTTAGCTACTTGCCCAAATTTATTATTTTTTATTTCTTTTTTCTTTTCAATACTACTATCAGCTAAACGCTGCTTTGCATCACGAGAAAGTCTAACTAATGCTGGGGAAGTTGGGGAAATATTTTTTGAAGTTTTTTCTTCATCAACTGGAGAGATAGTTTGTGGAGACTGAGTGCTGCTTGGTTGGGGAGTAGTTGATATATTAGCTTTGTTGCTAGCTTCGTTATTGGAACTTTCCTCTTGGTTTTGTTGTTTTTGAGAAGGATTGTTTGGTGGTGGATTAGAATTGCTCTAATAATAGTAAAAAAAATTATTTTTTTTTGGAATTTTTGGGAATTTTTGGAAATAATTAGCCGTTAATTTTAATAATTAAACAAGAAAATATAAATGAGGTTCTTAGATTTAAATAGCATAATTGTTTTTGATCCCAGTTTTTAAAATTAGGACATATAAGAATAACTTAAATGACTCTTTCGAAAAATTTATTTATCCATATTTGGATGTGATACCCAACTGATTCAATTTAAAATCTCATATATGGCTGAGAAAAACATGCAGAATTAAAAGTTTACTTTCCTTGTGATGGAAAGAGAAAAGGAAGAAAAGAACTCAACCTCACGATTTAGCATGTTTTTCCCATCCCAACTCATTAAATAGATTTTTCAGGAATATCCAAAATCCTTACATTATTTTCAGAGATTTTCGTATTACAATCATCATTGCCCTTTTTCTCCTCATTTTCCTTTATTTTCAATTCAAAAGTCGGAAATGCAGAATTTCTTCGTTTACGCAAACTTTCAACTCCCGAAGGCACCCCTAAAGAAGGATTGTTAACAAAATTTGATAAAAATAAATTATTGTTGTCTGAAATAATTGAAGGATTTGGACTAGTAGATCTGTTGATTTTTGTGGGGGTTAGTGTTGTTTTCGAATCAGTTTCTGTTGTCTTTACATTTGTGTTGTCGAGAGACGACCATTGTTTATTTTCCTTTTTTTAAATAAATAAATATTAAATTCTTGAATGATAATTTAATTTAGATATATTCAGGCTGTCAACTAAGTTTTGAGCCCTCTAGAGTTTTACCTCTAAATCCTGCCAACTTAATCCCATGGCTATGATTTTTAGCCCAAAAATAGGCATCTCTCTTAGGAACATTAAGGAAAATAAATTACATTTTGAAAACATTTTGGTGAATTTTAATAATTATTTAATGCCAAGGAAGGCTCAAAACTTATTTGACAACCTAATATTTAAACAAAATTACAATTAAATAATTTCCAATAAATAAAAATATTTTTCTACCTGAACAGCCTTTTCAAACCGTTCAATAAACGAAGCAATAATTTTAAAACATTCTTCTAATGAAAAGGTCCTTTCCGGTTCACAAAAGAAATTTGCCAATTTAAGACGAAGAGGTTCAAATTTTGCTAGTTGGTTTTCCATCCTTCTTAGATAATTTTCAGATTTCTTTTTTTTTAATTTTGGAATTTTTAATTTTATTTTATTCAAAAACCTCCAAAAATTGTTTATATTCTCCAAAAAATATATCGTTGTTTTGTATTTCCTTAATTTCCCCTTCAAGTCTTCGTTGTCGTTCTATTAATCCTCGCAGGTCTTCCTTTGTTGCATCCAAAGAAGACCTGCTTAATTAAAAGTTTAATTTAGTCTATATACATTTACATCCGGAAAATACAAATAAATTTTCCGGAAAACATAAATCCGGAAAAATAAATATATTTTAACAGGACTTTTCCGGAATTAAACATTCCAGAAAAATAATTAATATTAATATATTTCCGGAAACAATATAATATTCCGGAATAATGTATAATATAATATATTATTCCGGAATAGTGTATAATTCCGGAATCTCTAAAAATTCTATTGCAAGTTTTCCGGAATATTTAGTTTTTCTCAAGTATTTACAGAAAACACGTACTTAACAGATTCTCTCACATTTCCAAGTTCTGTTATTAATTCCTCTGCACAATTATTTGCTTGCTGTTAAATTTACAAATATAATTTTTAAAATATTCTTTTGTTTACAACCTTAGCAACAAAGTGGAGAAGAGTGCTTCTCCTGCCTTTTTCAGCCCCTCCAATAGCCTTTACATCCTCCACCTTTAAATTAAAATTATTATTTTTTTTAATTTAAATTTTCCAATTTACCTTCCAAAGAGAACTCAATTTAAATCCAACAGCATTTCCAATACTAGCTCCGTGATTTAAATAATTCCCAACGTGTAAAAGAATGTAGAGAATTTTGTGTAGTGAAGGGCTTGACATTAATTCTGAATTAAATTTTTAAATAAAAAAAATTTTTTACCCCCTCCCCCCAATTTACCTTCTCCTCCCTTTAACCAAGTCTCCAATCCACAATTTTGCCCAGAATTATCCATTAATTCTTCAATATCCAATCGGAGAAGCATAGCATCTAATCTCATTTTGTATTTGGGCACTTTAGTTAATAAAATTAAAAAGCGTTCAGCTTGCCCTAATAATGCAAGATTTCCATTATATTGACGAAGGATCTCTAGCTGTAATAATAAGTTAAAAAAATTAACCGGAAGGTTATATTTTTTCCGGAAATTTATGTAGATAGAACACAATTATTTGAATTTTCCGGAATTCAAATCCGGAAAGTTTTATTTTATATTTATTTTCTTGTCTTATGTGTTTTCCGGAAAGTCTTCATGTTTTGTTTTAAGTTTTGTTGTTTATAAATTATTAGATGTTTTGATTAAAGATTTGTTAAAGTTTTGGAACTGTTTACAAATGTTTTGTTTCTTAAAAAATTTTTTTGTTTTGTTTTTAATAATGTATAATGTTTGTTTTGACTAAAGTTTTTGCTTGTTTTAATGTTTTATTGTTTTGCTTGTTTTAAACAGAAATGTTTTTAGTAATGTTTATCTTGTTTGAATAAACTTAACGATGTTTTGATTAATGTTTTAGTTGTTTTCAATGTTTTATTGTAATATTTGTTTTTTATTTATAAAAACTTGAGAATACCTCCTCTTCAGAAGGCAATAACTGTATTAAAGTTCTAAGCCTATCAGCACCTATTTTTTCAGCATTACCATTAGTTATATCACAAAGTAATTGTTCTGAATTTCGACACATTTTAAGAAAAACATTAACACCTTGAAATTTATTTTTTTAATTAATTTAATTAAATTATTTAATTCACTTAAACTTCTTTTTGCATTTAATAAAGCAATGAAATCTTGTTGTTGGCTGTTGGGCATGAGAGAAGCTGCTCGGCGTCTTTTTTGTCCGCTTGACATAAAATTGGGAATTTGGTCGTTGTCGTAGAAAGCTGGAGGGGAAGAGGGGCACCCAAATAGGGAATCCAGGCCTGCAAAGTCTAGTCGGTCTCCTTAAAAATCAGAATTTAAACAAATCAGAATAAATAACCAACTCAGTTCCCTATCAGCACAATCCAATCCCTGCCAAACATTCTGGTGACCAGAAGAAGGAGCAGCTTCACTACCGATTACTATATTTGCTGCTACAACAGCGTTAGAAGGTACTTTTGACCATTGTAAATGTCTAAGCCGACGTCCCTGTCCTGGAAGTGCTTTGGGACGTAAAGGACGTGGAATATCTGCTGCTTGAGTTGGAGGGGTATTGCCTACACTACAAGTATCTCCAGGTGTTGGAGGCCTCGTTAATAATAAAGGTGGTGGGGGAGGCTGGTTTTTCTTGCTAGTTGTTGTTATATTTTCGACTTTGATGTTTGGTGGAGGACGAGAATTTTTAAGTAAATTAGGTGGAGGGGGAGGTGGTGGAGGAGGTGGGGGCGGTGAACGCTGTTTCTGTTGAGTATTTTTGATATTTTCATTCAATGAAGTACAACATGTCAACAAATCATTTAAATTAACATTTCCTTTATTTCGCATTTGAATAATTAATTTTCTAAGTAAAATCAAAATTTCGTTTCGCTCGTTCTCTGATAGTTCAATCAAAAGCTTGTTAAATTCAGCTATTTCCTGAAATAAATTATAGTTATATCTTTCATTTGTTTCCGGAAAGTTTATTTATTCTACCTATGTATTTTCCGGAAAGTTTTTTTTCGAAGAGCTATATTTCCGGAAATATTAATATAATATTATATTAATTTCCAAAAGGTTAATTATTATATTATATATTTTCCGGAAAGTTGATAATAAATATATAATTAGTATATTAGTATATTTCCCGGGCAAAAATATATTATAAAAATATATTTTATATTTATATTTTCGTGTTCCGGAAAGTTGATAGTTAGTATGTACATTTCCAGAAAGTTAATGAAGTTCCGGCTATTTTCCGAAAACATTATTAGTATTGAAATGACATATTTATATATTTTAATATTAATTCAACCTATATAAAATAAACCTGTTGTGCATTCATTGTTTTCATTCCAACTTTTTGTTTATTTCTATTCTCTCCCCTACTACTTTCCCCCACAACATCTTCACTATCAGAAAAAGTTCCAGAATCAGCATCAGCTCCCTTGCGCATTTCTTCTTCCTCTTCTTCTGATTTTTCACTTATTATTTTTAAAGCTTTCATCCAATCATTTATAGGCTCCTCTAGTTCTTTGGAGGATCTAAATCGTTCCCTTAAAAAATTTTTTAATTATTTTTTTTATTTTCTAAAAAAGGTATTAAAAAAATAATGTCATTTTTAGGAGAAATTTTTGGAAAGAAAAAAAAGTTTTTTTTGTTTGTTTGGCTATTTTTCTATATATTTTTATTTTTAATGAATCATTATAGGCATGAAATTCTGTAAAAAAATTTTTTGGTTAGAAACGTGGTGATTGTTTTTAGATGGAGGAAAGGGAGAGGAAAATGGTTTTATGACAATTTTTATTTTTTAAAAGAAAAATTTTTTTTAGAAATTTTTTAAAATTCGGAATTGAAATTAATTTTATTTTAAAAATTATTTAAAAAATTAATTACAGTCAACTCTCATTATTAGTAGCAACAGAATGAGTAAGTATACCTATAACGAACTATTTTTTGCTAAATTCAAGTTTGCTAAGGGTCTCAAAAATCTCCAAAAGTCCTCCTCCCACCCTCTAGCTATGTCCAAGTCGCTATTAAAGAGAGTTGACTGTATTTCCAAAAATTATTAGATTATAATTTTCCTACCTTAATTTAACTACAATATCTTCAAAATGAAGCTCTAAATTTTACCAATTTAATAAATTTAAAATATTTTCTATTAAACCTTCCATTTCATTTCTTAGTCGTGCGCGGCTTACTCTGTTAGGTGCAAATTGAAGCAGTCTTTCAAGTAATCTTAAACTTGCAATAACAATTTGAACATCATTAGCACAACATAATTCGTCTAGTAGAGGTGATAGAGAGTGGGAAAAGCTGTGAAAATTAGGGAAGAATAAATGATCCAACTAGACTTAAACTTCCATAACTTAGAGAAGTCTTGACCGATTTTTCTGATTTTAGTATCATTCGATAGAGAATTAAATTAACTACAAAATAAAAAAGAAATTTTAATTTTATTTCAAAGAGAAAAAAAGTTATAGCCCAAAAACTATCAAAAATTAAGCATTTCAACTGAAAATTTAGTTTTCTGAACATAACTTTTCTGTCTTTAAATATAATTTTCTTATTTTGCTTAGTTTTGTAGCCTTATTTATTAACTATCAAATGATACTAAAATCAGCTAAATCAGTTCATTGCTTCAAAAGTTATAAAAGATAGAGCACAGCTTACTCGCTTAAGTCCTGCCAACACCAAAGGCATTCAAGCACGGCAGAATAACCTCTTTCAGAACAACGAATAAGTAAGGAATTGAGTAATTCTAGTACTGCTAATGGTTCTGAATCTGATGGCGAAGAAAATTTTATTTTAAATGCAAATTTAAATTTTTTATGATTTTTTTTGGGTTTAGGGTATAGATTTTAGAGGGAAGAGAGAGAGAGTAGACCCTCGGTTGTATTTGTATTTTATATTTGTATTTTCAATTATATTTTTCCGGAAAGTTTAATTTTACATTTTTATTCCTTATGTGTTTCCCGGAACGTTTAATTAAATAAATAGAACTAACCAAATAAAAATCTGGGAAAATGATTCTGGGCATCTTCCAAAATTTCTTCCAAAGATGGAAGGGCTAGATAAGTTGGGGAATCTGAAACAGATGAACATGTTGTAGAAGATGTTGGAGATAGAGCAACCATTTTTTATTTAATAAATAATTTTTCTAATATTTTTATTTAAAAAATAACAGCGGGACAAAAAAACTTTTTTTAATTTTTAAATAAAATAAAGAAAAGGGGAAAAAATATTTTAAAAAATAATATATAATTAATTTTAAGAGAACAAAGACAATTTTTAAACAATGGAAAGTGGGCAAGGTCAGCTTTAAGGCTGCCTGAAAATAACTATAAATATATGTAATATAACTATAAATTATCCCAACTTTAATTTTACTTATTTTTATTTTACTCTATCCGGAAAGTTTTATTTTTATATTACATTGAGGTAGGTTTTACTAAAATACAATTTTATTTGAGTATTCCGGAAAGTTTAAATTCTTGCTTGTATTTTACGTAAAGTATACAACTTGTTTTCCGGAAAGTTCTATTTTCGTCTTGCTGTTCTCCGGAAAAATTGTATATTCTTTTCCGGAAAAATTTCTAATAAATAATCCCTTTTAATGTCTTCCGGAAAATGTATCTCTTTTCCGGAAAGTTGTATTCCTCCTTTTTCTTTTTCCGGAAAAATAATAAATAATTGTTCTAATGTTTTCCGGAAAAATTTATTTAATTCTCATTAATATTTTCCGGAAGGTTTATATTGTTTATTTACTTTAAAAAATTTATTAATAAAAAATTTATTTTTATGAATATTTCGGCTGGGAAATGATAGGGGAATAAAAGTAAAATAAGCTTTAAAAAAGCTAATGATTGATCTCTTCTATACTCTCTCAGAATATACAAACATATGCACACAATGTGGACAATGGACATTTAAATATATTTAAAGAAAAAAAAGTAAAAATAAGTGGAAGAATAAATAAATATTTAGAATATGTAAATATACAAAACAAGCACAAAAATATTTGTGTATTAGTTAATGCTTAAAAACGTTAGGCTTTAACTATATAAATAAACAATTAGGTATGTATAGTATTATTTTAATGATAATAATAATTCTATCTATTTCGGAAAGTTCATAATTTTAGATTTTATTCTTTGTTTTTTTTCCGGAAAAATTTTAATGAAAAACTATGTCTAAATTACAACTATGTAATTTAGACACCCTAAAATTTACAAAAAAATAAATCAGAAAAATGTTCTAAAAAGACATCAAAAGCCACAAATACAAATTGGATACCGTATCACTTAAATCACTCAATTATTTAACTTCAAATATTTATAATAATAAATATTAGCTTTTAAAAAATAAAATAAATTCAATAATTTAAATTTATTTTTAAAAATATTTTGCGCCTTTTAATGCTTTTATTTAATGGCCATCGCAGGTGTTAAATGTAAAAATTTATAAAGTGTCTATTTAGTCTGTAAATATTTAATTTAAAACTAGCGATGGGTTTGGCCACTGGGGTGGATATCAGGACACTGTGGCTGTTAAATTTTGCTCTTGATTTAAATTTGGCTCTGCCCGTTGGAAAGCCTAACGGCTTTGGGGGCGCGCTTCGCGCGCCGCTAGCGATCTTTTATGCCTGGAACAAAAGATTAGCTTCATTGGGACTCATCCTTCCACTTAGAGTCACTTCGGGCCTTCGGCCCTCATGTTCCCTTAGTTTGGACTCATCCTTCCACTTAGAGTAGTGGACTCATCCTTCCACTTAGATGGGTGTCAGCTCGGGCCTTCGGCCCTCGCCCTTCCTTTTAGATGGGTGTCAGCTCGGGCTTACGGCCCTCGCCCTCCCTATTAGATGGGTGTCAGCTCGGGCCTTCGGCCCTCGCCCTTCATTTTAGATGGGTGTCAGTTCGGGCCTTCGGCCCTATCCTTCCTTTTAGATGGGTGTCTCGGACCTTCGGCCCTCACCCTTACTTTTAGATGGGTATCAGCTCGGGCCTTCGGCCCTCGCCCTTCCTTTTAGATGGGTGTCAGCTCGGGCCCTCGCCCTTTTAGATGTGTGTCAGCTCGGGCCTTCGGCCCTCGCCCTTCCTTTTAGATGGGTGTCAGCTCCGCCCTTCCTTTTAGATGGGTGTCCTTCCTTTTAGATGGGTGTCAGCTCCGCCCTTCCTTTTAGATGGGTGTCAGCTCGGGCCTTCGGCCCTCGCCCTCTCTTTTAGATGGGTGTCAGCTCGGGCCTTCGGCCCTCGCCCTTCATTTTAGATGGGTGTCAGCTCGGGCCTTCGGCCCTCGCCCTCCCTATTAGATGGTGTCTCGGACCTTCGGCCCTCGCCCTTCCTTTTAGATGGGTGTCAGCTCGGGCCTTCGGCCCTCGCCCTTCCTTTTAGATGGGTGTCAGCTCGGGCCCTCGCCCTTTTAGATGTGTGTCAGCTCGGGCCTTCGGCCCTCGCCCTCTCTTTTAGATGGGTGTCAGCTCGGGCCTTCGGCCCTCCCTATTAGATGGGTGTCAGCTCGGGCCTTCTGCCCTCGCGACTCCTTTTAGATTAAAAATGGTCAACCTAAACCTATGGAGCGTAGGCGAGGCGCTTGTGCAAAACCCCGCGCTTCGCGCGGGGTTTTGCGGCACGCGCCTCGCGGGTCGTCAAAGGTCGCTGGGTTCTGGGCTCGTAACATGATCCTATTCCTATAACGATCAAGTTCTTATAACGACCCTATTCCTATAACGACCCAATTCTTTCCTTTATTCGGACTCATCCTTTTACTTAGAGTCAATTCGGACTCATCCTTTCACTTAGAGTCAATTCGGACTCATCCTTCCACATATAGCAAAAATGTGAAGCAGAAGCTTGCTTCTGCTTCGGATCCATAACAGGATCCTGCTTATCTTCCCATAATATTTTCCCCAATATACAAAATTCACCCCTAAGTTCTTCTACGGTTTGCCCTGCATGGTCAGAGACGGAGAAAATTTTCGCCTCTCTTCCTTACATTTGACCTGTCAATCGTTTTTCCTCTCTCCCTCCCATCATCTCCGGGTACAGTACTCAACCCAACAAATGTTCGAACCTCTGTATGTTCGTCAAAATGTACCAAAAAATTCGAAAAAAATATTTTTAAAGCCAGAACGATGAGAGCTTTCGAATGATATATCATTTGACATATCTATCTTGATTTTTGAAATTATAATTTTTTCCCCGGAAATTTTGGCCGAAAAAATCCTTAAAATTTTCAAAAAATCATAACTTGCTTAAATTTAGCCTTTTTTGAAAATTTTGAAATCCTATCCTATGCAGAAAAATCTGCTCAATCCAAGAAAAATACCTTCAGCCCAAACCGGTGGCAAAAATCCCGAAAAATTTAGAAAAAACCGAAAAATTTTGGGTTTTTCGAAATTCGACCCTTACACCTCCAATTTCGACTTTTTTCGAAAGTTTTTGGGCTATAAATTTTCTAATTTTTTACTCTATTTTATAAAGGAAACCCCATTCAAAAATCCCCATCCCTTACAAAGTTATGACGATTTAAAAAATCCCGATAATCCCCCCTTTTGAAAAATTCGAG